GCGGCGGCCCACTGCATGTAAGACTTCATGGCTGTATTGGGTGTGTGTAACGAATGTGTGGTGGTGAACGAATGAGAAGTTTCAGAAACGAACGAGGAGGGTTTCGTCAGAGATATAGAGAGCGAAAGTCCGATGGCTGGAGCGAGGACAGGGAAGTGCCGGAGGTTTATGGGCAAGCGCAACCAAGGCGCAGGTGGGCTGTTAGGGGGCTGGCGCAGCGTGCGAAGGCAACCGCGAATATGTCGTCCTTGGGACTAAGTTCGTCTCTGATCAAAAGCGCCTCCACCGGGTGAAATGAAGGACGTATGCATATTAGGTGTCCAAGCTCTCATTGGCGGGGTGGGTGGAACTGTTGGCCGACGACGACAGCCTTTGCTATGTAATTGTTCGCGGGCCATGGGGCCATGAACTGGTGCAAAAGCTTGACTGGACGATGACTGGGCGGCTTGCGTGCTCGAGAGATGCATGTTGCAGAGCGGAAAGTCAACGTCTTCTTGAATACTTTTCCGCCGGCATGAGGCGCTCGGCTCAAAGAGGGAAAGTGCCGTCGTGGACAGTGGAAACGCGGTGGATCTTCCCTCGATATACTACTCGGTACATGAGTTCGTTTGACGCTGAAAGCCACTGAGCCTACGTTTGAACATGCATCCTCCCCAGATTCCCACCCAATGAACTGATCAAGCCACCCCGAGATGGTTGCTCATCGTTCCCTACCCACAGGATCTACAGATAAGCCCATCGCAAGTTGACAGCCCTCAGCCGCCGCCCCATGAATGTCTGAAACTGTGATGTTGCGAACTCCACCCCATTCATTGCCGGTCATTGTCAGCCAGGAGACAATATCAACAACCGATATAGTAGCATGCTCTTGCAATAGGGGTAACCAGGGCTGAAACACGCTTTGAAGGCTTAGGACCGTGGGAGATTGTAAAGAAAGACTCGAACTCCACCGTCTCCTGGGCCGGGTGTCTTACGTAGACAACCTCCCCGCTAGTCCGTTTTCGCTTTGCACGTGATCGAAGCCTTACGTATCACGACCACGCCAGAGACTCCGTTGGTTCATGCTTAAATATAGACTCTCCGACCTTGGAACTGGGGTATCTTGCGAGGCCTCTTGGCCGGCTTTAAGGGCATCTACGATTGGGTCACACTCCCGGAAGCCAGAGGACATAATGTCACGACGTGATCTTTTGTACAGCGAACCAGTGAGCCCACAAGGCAGAAAGACAGCAAGGCAGCAAGGCAGCAAGGCATCCAGTTTCTAATCTAAATGCTAACCGCCCGACACCTGCAAGACCCAAAATACCCCAACAAATGAATTTCACAAACACCATCCAGTCAATACTCACCCATTCACGGTACTGAGCATTTTTCCACTCCAATGCAAGACTCCCAAGCTGTTTATTTGACTCCCAACTTGACAGGCTCGAGATGGCGTTTAAATGCATCCTCCAACGAGATCAGTGGTTCGCTTGCAATCTAGTCATGATACGAGATTAGCATTACATCATTCTTCACCAGACTCTGTCAGGGTATTACCTCGCGAGCCTCCTCAAGTGTGTTGTTATGGAAGTAGCCATACTCCTCAATGTACTGGAAGACCTGGCACAAGTCTTCCTGAAAGAACTCAGGTAGTCTCCTTGAAGCAAGTGCAGCCTTGAACGTCTCCTTGGGCAGGGTCTGGAAGACTACAGACCTGCCCAGTTTGTTCAAGGTCTCCACTATCTCTCGGACGGTGTAGTATCTTTCCGCGACATCCAACTGTTTGCCATTTGTCTCTTTTGGGCGAAGCAGAATACCCTTCACGAACTTGCCGACATCGGCTGCTGCGTCAACTACAGGCAGCACGGTGTTGATGTTGGCAGGCTCCGGCAAGCACAGGCTGAAAGTTGGGGGTTCAGTGGATAGAGGAGCGAGGAAGAAGTCTATAATGAAGGGCGCATAAGCTCCAATGTTGATGATTGTGTGAGGGATCGCTAGAGACCGAATGTAGTCGTTAACAACGGCTTTGCCATCCCAGTGAACTGCGCCGGTGAGTTTACTGTCGGTGACTATTTCAAGTAGCAAGACAATTAATCGAGTGCGACTGTTGGATTGATTCACTACTCAAGAAGAGGTATGAGGTGACTTACTCTGCGAAATATGCGGCAGACTTGACCAGATCAGGTGCTTAATGTCCAGCTCCTGTTTTGATTAGTTCGATTTCTCGGATACCAGAGGCTGACCCTACCTTTGCAACATCAGCCACAAGCTTCCCCTGCCTTGTCTCTGCAGCATAATCAAAGCCTTCCATGTTGGTGACTAGGTACACCGCATAGGCGCCCTGAAGTGCAGCATAGACTTCTTCCTTTTCGTTGAGGCTTGCCTGATCTTTGTGGTTAGAGCCATGGTAATGTATCGGCAGATGTGTAAGCTTACCTTGACAACCTCTGCACCCTGTTGAGCGAGGGCCAACGCAGCTGGCTTGGAAGGGTCCCTGGTGATAGCTCTCACCTTGAACTGCCGAGAGGTATCAGGGTCGCTGAGAACGACTCTCAAGACTGAGCCACCTTGGGTTCCGGTGGCTCCAAAAACCACCAAGACCTTTCTATTATCAGATGACATGTTAAGGATTTGTCTATGCTAGGTGGGAAAGGTGACTCGGTATGATAGTTTGATTGTTCTCTTGAAGCAATCGAGCAGTTATGAGACAGTTTTTATATCTCCCTGGACCGTCGCTTGAGGGGTTGTCAGATTCATTCTCCATAGATTTGAATATCTTCACACTCGCAGTACAGAGCGCTGATTGGCTTATTCGCAATACCTTCCAAATAGAGCTAGCGCCACTGCTGCCCGCAGGTGCCGAGTCTCGTTATTCTCGGAGTAGGATTCCTTGTCATCATGAGAACCTTAGCTCACATCATCATCCGTATTTGTAATGATTTGCAATCTGTTCTTCGAGTTGCAAAGGCAATATCATCATCACTTGCGCTGACGTCTTGGGGGGACGTTCCACGATACTGGCCTCATGTGGGATAATGGTTCGCCACGGACGGCTGTCAACAGGCTGCCAAACTTGCAGGAAGCGGAAGATTAAAGTAAGCCCATCTTGCCTCTCTGCGATCTACAAGTCTCATGGAGTGAATTTTGTGCAGTGTGATAAGCTGCGTCCAGCCTGTACACAATGTGCTCGATCTGGCTGGCAGTGCCCGCAGGACGCGGACTCCATTCATCGAATGTTTATATATTGTGACCTGAAGAGAAAAGCGACAAACAAAGGCACTTCATCGCACACAACCACATCAAGGATTTCATCTTCTAATGCGAAGCAAAAAATCTCTACCACACCTCAGAGGAAGTACCTCGATCTGGATTTAAGTATCCCGATGGAGGTAGTGCAGCCTCTACATTGCCGTGCAACCGAATACTACCTAGCAAACCATGTCTTGCGACCGACCGGAGCGATCCGGGGCTATAATGAATACCTTTATACATTCAGCGCGAAGGTGCTGAGAGAACCGATGGTTGCCACCAGTCTGAGTGCAGTCGGGCTCGCGGCCTACTCTCACAAGTATCAATATCCCGAAATCTTGAGCGAAGCAAGATATGAATATGTCCGATCCTTACGATTTATTAATTCAGCACTCTCGTCATCACAAGCAAACGCGGCAACTGATGCGATCGTCATTTCGATACTGCTTCTCGTCTCTTACGAGTCTCATACCGCTGAGACCAGGCGAACTATCCCAAACCGCTATGCGCATGTGAAAGGCGCAGCGACGCTGTTGTGTCTGCGAGGAGACGAGTCTATCTCGTCTTGTCCGAGACGGCAGTTATTTCATCACCTGTTCGCATGTATCTCGGTACATTGCATTATCTTGTCGGTTTCGATACCGCGTGATCTAGTCCGACTGCATGAAAAGGCTTTGGAATGTGTTGATACTACGAGCAATCCTGCATGGCGGATGTCGGAGATGATCATCCAGGTGACCGAATTTCGTGCTGACATACGATCGGGAAGGATACAAGAACCACAGAGCATAATCATCGCCGCGCAAGCACTTGATAGTGAGCTGGCTTCATTAGCGGACACCTTTCCGTCCTCTTGGCAATTTGAGAATTTTGAGCTGCTAGAGAGGTCAGAGTTGGTCTTTGGGGAGAGCTTCCATGTCTACCCAGACCTATGGATCGCTTACAACTGGAATAACCTTCGAGCATGCCGGATGATTCTGCTTGATGAGATTCGCCAACAATTTGAGAAAAGTACGGTATCTGCACAGCCCTGCATGATGGCTGATCCGATACAGCATCAGCGAACCTTGAAGAAGCTGTACCAACTGAGCTCGGACATATGCGCAACAGCCCCACAGCACTGTGGCTATCACTTGGAGTTGCTTAATTGCAGCGGCTCACAAGGGATCTCAAACCCATTCAAGCGTCTAAGGCATAATGATCCAAGTATTCCAGGAGATGCCGGTGCACACCTTCTTTTTTGGCCCTTCATAAATGCCGGGCAGTTCACTCCATCTCAACACCAACGAAACTGGATCGCTGGTCGCATTCCTTCCGTGGGTCAGCAGGGGGCTCTAATTGCCGATATTTTGAAGTTGGGACAGCGACTGTTCTGATGTGGTGGAAGAGGCTACACAAAGGACTTTTGAGTAGACTGGAGAATGAAGATTGCATGCAATTCAGCTCAAACAATACCCTAGACAAAATGTCATAAAAAGAAAGTGGACAATGACTTAGACTTGTCTTAGATTGTAGAACAAAGACATCACCTACATCAATTCAGCATGTTAGCTCAGGGGAAGAGCGCCGGGCTCATAACCCGGAGGACCCTGGATCGAAACCAGGACATGCTAGCTTGAGTTTTTCTTTTTTTTTTTTTTCGATTTTTTGTCCTTGCCGAAAATCCGACCGATGCAGACCCCGAAGCACTTATCGGCCTACCGGTCTTATCGTGTTGTTTATCCGACACCATCCGGACCAGCGACAATTAAACATTCCGAGTCGAGGCGATGGACACTGCAAACAGGTGAACATTGCTTCTCGCTCCTACACCCTCGTCCTGGAACTAATGAATCAGATCGGTGTCGGCGTGCTTACGTTGCCGACGACAGAAGCTCAAATGTGGAGGTCCCGGCAAAGTCCCTTGTGCGAGGTGCAAAGCGAGCCGCGCTGAATGTGTCTTTGTGAACCCCCGGGCATCGCGTGCCTCGAGCAGGTCTAGGCACATTGCTGAAGAGTTAGAGTGAGTTTTTAGCACGATTGCGTTTGCTATGAACTTCTTGCTCACATCGCAGTGGTAAATGGTCTGCTTTGGAACAGCGGATGAATAGCTTGGAGGAGAGGCACCAGAAAGAGTTGAGAGAACTACAAAGCACCGTCTCTCGACTGTGCGCCCGGCTGGAATCTAGTACAAAGAATGGATGTGAGGTGTCATTGTCGAATGATGAGCTGCTCGCTACGAATCGAGCCAAGGATACGGCCTCATTTGACATCGTGCGCTGCGGTACGGTTACTGAGGATGAGTGGGAAGAGCTTTATAATTTGTGAGTATACGGCTTCTGCCAGGATCCTCACTAGAGACTCGTGTACGTATATGCTTACGTGGAACTCAGCTTCGATGAGCACTGCCGGACAGCCATCGCATTCATGGATGACCAGCTCTACTCGGCGGCGCACGTCATCCGCAAACAACCTCTGATGGCGACAGTGATCTGCGTCATTGCATCCAGGGCAGTCCGTCCTGAGAATCACGCCACCTATCTTGTCGCAGCAGATCAGATAATTAGCACCACGTTCTCTGGCGCCATAGATCTATACACTGTCCAGGCCATGATGCTTCTCGCCGCCTGGACTGGCAGGCATCGTCTATGGGGATATGTAGCTTCTGTCGCCGTGGAACTAGGCTTGAATGTGGCCGCGCTAAAATTGGGAGATGGTTCTGTCGAACACACAGCAGAATTGGTCAGCTCAGCAAGGACGTGGTTCTCCTTGTGTTGCTTTGACCTAATGTAAGCGTGAACGCCATCAGAAGCTGAGTTGTAGACTGACGGTTTCGAGGATCAATCTTGATCGACCATTTGTCCTTTACGATATTATGGACTACCTGCCTGTTGCTTCTCAGCTTCTACTTTCTCCCCACTGCAGACCGGTGGATTACCGACTTTGCGCGTATTTGCAGGGGTTTTCAATTACCGGTATGAGGTCCCTCCCGCCGCAGGGCGACGACAACCAACTGACAATCTCCAGCCGAAGCCAAAACGCAAATAGCCAGCGCAGAATTGCGACTCGATCCACTCCCTGATAGTGTTGTTCAGAAATTAAGAGCCCTTGATCAGAAAATTGATCGCTGGTTCTACCATATCAACAACAGCATGGAGCCGCTCTACCAGACCTTTGCTAAGAAGCAAGACCGGAATCGCTTTATGGCTCCCTACGCATTTTTGAAGATGTGTGTTTACCAATCCCACTGAAATGTTGCAACACCTAATGGATTTGGTAATTTAGTTACGTGAACGGTCTTGCTTTGCACGGGAAGGAGTCTCAACACGGAAGCGCAGATACTAACAGGATGGCGTTCATTCAGAGAGCTCTCGACAGCGCATGTCTTCTGCTCCAAACTCAATTTGAGTGGAAGGAATTCCGACAAATGCTGCCGTATTCAGGAGACTATAATCTCGTGACTACGTACTATGCTATAGGGTTCATGCCCAAAGCTCTTGAGGTTGCTAGTGGAGCTGTGAATTGCGGGCTGGTGCTTTCGAGACTACGACAAGTGATCCAGCTGCTGGAAGAGGCCGGGGTTGCGGAATCTGCTGACGAAGCTCGAAACGGATTGCGAGTGCTGGAGCAGGCGATGCGGACTTCTCTACTCCCAGAGGGTCTTGTGGCAGAAATAGATCAAGCTGCGGGAGAGTCTCTTTTCGACATTCCAAATCTTTTGGATAAATGATTCAAGAAGCTGTGCGCCAGTGTTACGAAGGACGCGAACTTGACTAGAGTGCCGGTTCTGGAGAGGTTGATGGTAAATTGTTGTACATAGTTATCCATGGTAAATACATAGACGATAAAGGGTGACTCAATCACGACTACTGAAAGCGTCCAGCAGCTTGCATCGCCTTGTTAAAATCCTCCTTCATCCTCAACGCGAAATCGTCATTAACTAAGACATCGATGCAGATCAGCGCGTTGGCCTTTCCTGCTCGCAGTGCCTCGACATGGCCGATCTCACTTTCCGCTGCTTCTCTGAACCCTGTTGAATGGGGCAGGTCGGTCGCATGGATGTTGAAGACGGATTGGATGCCAGGGCAGATGTAAGAACAGCTGCCGAAATCCCTGTCATAGGAGGTGAGTGGCAGGACATTGAAGAGGGTGATGATAAGCACTTACGAGCTCCCACCCAAATCGTGGGCTATCTTCGCCTCCGCTATGGGCAGCATCTCCTCGGGAGTTAGGCCGAGATGTTGTATCATGTACTGCCTGTACTGCTCTGCGAGCGTCTCGTTGGTCACGACGTCTTCATAAAGAGCGAACCTAGTGTCTCACATCAGCACATTCTTGATGATCCAGGACGAGAGTCGTACCAATCCAACTCGACCGTGCACCCAGTCGCAGCGGCCGCACCATGAAAGATAGGCTCCACCCTCGCCCGGAGTACCTCGATCTGCTTCACCGTCGGCGCCCGCACACTAAACATCCCCTCCGCATAGTCCGGAATCAGATTCGGCACCTTCCCCGCCTCCAGAATGCACCCCTGGATACTCTCACTCTTCTCAATGTGCTGCCTCAGCAACGCAATCCCTGTATACGCCTGCACGATGGCGTCGCAGGCGTTCCGCCCCGTCCACGGCGCCCCCGCCGCATGCGCCGACTTGCCGTGGAACTTGGCCCGCAGCTTCCACGAGGCCTTGGTCATGCACACGGGCGTGCTGAAGTCCGGCATCCCGTGCGTCATGACACAGGCGTCGCAGTCCCGCCACGCGCCGTTCTTCGCCATGATCCACTTCCCGCCGTACGACTCCTCGGCAGGGGTGCCCATCACGACGACTGTTCCGGGCAGGTTGCGGGATCTGATTACGGTCTCAACGGCCACCGCCGATGCGAGCGTGGAGGTGGCGATCAGATTATGGCCGCAGGCGTGGCCTACGCCGGGTAGGGCGTCGTACTCGGCGTTGAAGCAGACGGTGCGTCCGCCATCCCGGATGGAGAAGCGTGCCTCAAAGGCGGTCTCGATGCCGTAGACATTGCGCGTGACGGTCCATCCGCGCTGCTCGAGCCAGTCGTACAGGAGCTTGCTAGCTTTGACTTCTTGGAAAGCAGTTTCGGGGTTATGTTGAGGCAACTCACCTCAAGACTCAATTTGCGCAGTTCTTCGCTCGCGTCATCGATGGCTCGCGCAGTCTCGGAGACGACATCTGCAGGTTGAAGAGGGAGAGGATCGGTTAGTTGGGTCATTTGCAGGACTTTCAGAGTGTGTTTTGTCTTCTCAAGCTGCTCATAGCGACGACGCAGGATGAACTATACGAGCAGAGAGCGATGTGAGGGGATCTCGGAGTTTATGTACTGGATGTGGTCATAGAGACACCCCCGCAAAAGCAGTTAACGGTTGATAAGCGGTGTCTGTCATTGTTTCGGCTTCGGGCTCACTTTTCGGTCGGACCGATCCGCCCGATCCGGCCGTGCTCAGCCATTCATCAGCCACGTTAAGCCACGTTAGCGGGGCGCAGTTGATGCTGCCTGAGAGGGGTCGAACTAGAGCCTGAGGCCACAATGTGTCTATAGCATGCATGCAACATGCATGAGACACGAGGCTGAATCCTCCCTCCTTCCCCCTCCTCTCTGACTTCACCAACTTCTCTTCACAAACACAACCTCCAGGAATTGAACAGACACATGTCTGTCACCCAACTTGATCCTGCAATGACGACATGACATCCTATAAATATGACAACCACTCCAGCAGCTCTCCATCACCATGATTACACGATCGGGTGGATCTCCGCTCTGCCTTTGGAGATGGCAGCTGCGGCCGCGATGCTCGACGAGAGACACCCTGACTTGCCGACCAAACCGACCGACGACAACACCTACATACTTGGCAGAATTCATGTGCACAACGTGGTCATCGCCTGCCTTCCCTCCGGTGTGTATGGCACAACATCAGCCGCCACCATTGCGAGCCAAATCCGCCTGACATTTCCCTCGATTCGAATCGGGTTGATGGTGGGCATTGGCGGTGGAGTCCCTGGAACGGCGGATGATGTTAGACTGGGAGATGTGGTTGTCAGCAAGCCAACAAGGGATTATGGTGGCATTGTACAATATGATTATGGAAAGTCGTTGGCCGGGGGAGCCTTTACTCGACAAGGCGTACTCAACAAGCCCCCGCCTATCCTTCTCACCGCGATTTCTCGATTGCAAGCTGCGCACTTTACCAGACCAAGTCAAATCTCATGGCTTGTGTCGCAAGCCGCCCGATCCTCTTGTTTCGCATACCCTGGCGCTGACCGCGACATTCTTTTCGATTCCGAATATGATCACGTGAATCCAGAGAACAACTGTACGGATTGTGATCTCAACAGACGCAGGAAGCGGTCAATTCGCGCTTCGCAGGATCCGAAGATTCATTACGGGCTTATCGCGTCTGCGAATCAGGTCATGAAGGACGGTCGCTTGAGGGACAAGCTGGCCCGCGAACTTGGCATACTTTGCTTTGAGATGGAGGCAGCAGGCCTGATGGACAGCTTCCCGTGTCTAGTTGTTCGAGGCATTTGCGACTACTCAGACTCTCACAAGAGTAAAGAGTGGCAGGGGTATGCGGCGGCCGTCGCCGCCGCCTACACCAAGGAATTGCTGTCCATTATTCATGGAAAACAAGTCGAGGACGAACCATCAAAGCTCTCCACCGGCAACAGTAGGTTGTTCCTGGCGTGACATGGCAATCTCTTGACTGATCTGCTCTGCTAGTACCATACCTTTTTGGAGCACTCTCGCCGACCCCGCGCTCGTCTCAGAGTGTAACTTCGCAGCGCAACGGTGAGATTGATTCCCACATTCAGGCTGAGCTGCTGTTGATTGCTTGAAGAATTGGACGAACAGGAGGAGCTCCTAGAGCAGATTTCTAGCTACCAGCACGAACAGGTTCATAGAAGGCTTGCGCACAAAAGACTGACAGGTACTACTCAATGGTTCTTGGAGAATCACGAATTCAAGGCGTGGTTAGAGAGACGCTCGAACAAGTTATGGTGCACTGGGAAAAGTAAGCATCCAAGTAGATGTGGTTCGCTGGTTACTGACTTGCCACTTTCATGCAGTTGGGTCTGGAAAGACAGTGATCGCGTTTGTACTGTGCCCCTTCTTGAGAGGCCGAGCTGACACTGGAAGGCTAGTGCATCTGTGATCGAAACTATCCGATACGAGCCCTCGGACCACCATGCTCCTACCGTCTTCTTTTATTGCGAACATGACCACAATGAGACTCTGCGGGCGTCTTCAGTTTTGTCTAGTCTGATAAGACAACTGGGTGAATTCCTTCATCGGAATGCAGGACCATGGCCAGCGCACTTGAAAAAAGAGATTGTAACGTTCTTTGGAAGAAGAAAGATAATGCCCGATTTCAACAATTTGGAGGACATTTTCATACAAGTATTTGACCTAGTGCCGATGGCCACATATGTCTTGGATGGGTTTGATGCGATGGAGGAAGAACAATGCAAGCTTTTGCTTACGTTCATCCGCTCACTGTTCTCTCGAGCAAGAGAGCTCAAAGGGCAACGTATTCTCCTCTTTAGCCGAGACCAAATACCAGGCTATCTCAACATCGCGACATTCATACCTGGGATCGGTCGAATCTCCACTTTTGACAACACCATGAGTGATATCCTGACCTACATTGACTATAGTATTGGTGATAAGTCCATGTACCGGAAGCTCACAGACGATCGCCTGTTATTAGAAGAAATCAAGGAAGTGCTATTCAACGAATCATCCGGGATGTATGTTTCTGACCTCTTGATCCCAAACTTCAACCTTTATGCTTACGTGTTGATGCAAGGTTCCTCTGGGTCCATCTTCAGCTCGAGATTCTTTGGAGCACTTGTTTCACAGATGCCGAAGTCCGCTCAGCATTGCGTCAATTGCCCAAGGATCTCGAGGAAACATATCGGTATTGCGCCAATAGAATAAACGCTCATGATAAACGAGCATTGAAAGTCCTGAAGTGGGTTGGCTTCGCGTCACGACCTCTGCACGTCGAAGAGTTAAGAGAGGCAGTAGCGTTTGAGAAACAAGACACAGAATTTGACAGCAACAAGCTTCCCCAACGTGACTTCATCATCGGATCTTGCGCCAATCTTGTGGTCCTAGACCCGATAGACCTCTGCGTCCGATTCGCCCACTCTTCGATCAAACAGTATCTGGTGAAAAACGGCCTTCCCGGACCTCAAAAAGCCCTGCAAGAACAACCCTTCGATGAGAAACAGGAAGAAATGAATTGCGGAGAATTCTGCATTGCGTATCTTTGCTTTTCCAACTTCAGCCTTCAGATCGAGCACAAGTGCAATGCAACGAGAGACGCCGTGGTCCCCGACCCTGTACTATTTGCAGGCCCGGCGTTGAAGTCGTCTCTGAGATACCTTTTTCGGGTACCAGATAGTCCCAAGCCCCAGAGAGTCCTACATTTACGCAGTATTCGCACATCAACTATCCCAGATCGAAGCCAGTACAAGTTTCTGAATTATGCTACAGTGAACTGGGTCGGCCAGACGAGATCTCTTGCGAGGGACTCCCCAATGTGGGAGAAATTCGAGAAGCTTGCGACGTGCTTTAATGAGACCTGGAACTTTCACCCATGGAAGCCCGGCGGTCGCTCCCTTCGTTCTCAGTTACATAGTCTTTTTGGATGGGCTGTGCGAGAAAACCACGAACCGCTTCTCTCCATAGCACTGAATTGGAAGAAAGAGATATTTCAGGTGTGCAATCTTCCTTTGATAGACGAGGGTCTTCCGGCACTTCACGTTGCCTCCAAATTAGGGCACCACGACATTGTTCGAACGTTGGTCACATTCTGCGATGTTAACCTAATGGACGCAGTGGGATACGCACCTTTACATCACGCCATTGCCCGTAATGATACGGAGATGGCATCGTTACTGCTCAGCGCTACAAAAGCCAATACAGACCTAGTGTCAGTCAAATGCGGGACACCACTTAGTTTAGCGGTGCAACTTGGATTTTATGAGATGGCGGAACTCCTGATCCAACATGAAGCTGCTGTACAGGAGCCTCTTTGGTCGGCAATAGTGCACGGTAATGAAGAAATGATCAAGCTTCTGGTCAAACATGGGGCAAACCTGAGCTACAAAGGTGGAAACGGCCAGTCTTTGCTCGATTACGCGGCTCGGTCCAAGCACAGAAACATGCCGAAATTCCTGCGCGGACTGACGGAACAAAAGCTTCTTCTCCTTGGTAAGTGTACTTTCTACTCTCCAGGACTCTGCTGCTCACAACTTGCGTAGGTGCTGCAGAGTCAGGCAAGTCAACAATCATCAAGCAGATGAAGGTTCTGTATATGAAAGGATACACACCGGAGGAATTGAGTCGGTACAGAACGACGATCTACAAAAATGTCCTGGAATGCGCCGATGCGCTATTTACGGCAATGAATGAGCTGGGAATCCATCCGCATAGTGAAGAGGCCCGATCGTACCGTTTACCAATGTCGGAGACGGGCCTGCTGCCGGATCAAACTCTCAGGCACGATGCCTGTGCACTGATATCCGCCCTGTGGCATGACCCCGCTATTCCTCTACTTATGGAGCAACGAACGAAGTTTTATTTGATGGATTCAGCACCTTAGTAGGATCCCGAATGAGTAATACCAGGCCAATAGGTACTGACTTGCACCTAGTTTTCTCGATAACATAGAACGAATAGCCGCACAAGATTATCAACCCACGGAGGCGGATGTACTGTGTGCGCGCACGAAGACCACGGGGATATACGAAACCCGTGTCTCCATCGGTTATACCAACCTCCAGTACGCGCTCCTCCCAAGCACTGAATTTGTCCAGCGACTGAATTTCATCTAGTGTATTCGATGTTGGAGGCGTGCGCAGCGAACGCAAGAAGTGGGTCCATTGTTTCGAGAACGTCGCAGCTATAGCCTTCTGTGTTGGGCTGAGCGAGTACGATCAGTTCCTGCTGGAGGACCCTAGCCAGGTACGGCCCTCGATGTCATTGCAGACTGTGGCAAGACTGATCTTCTGATTCAGAATCGCATGGAAGAAAGCCTACTATTGTTCGACTCAGTCGTGAATTCGCGATGGTTTCTGAAAACGAGCATGATCCTTTTCTTGAACAAGGTCGACCTCTTCAAAGAAAAGTTATCGCATTCGCCGCTTGAGAAAACCTTTCCGGAATACAAGGGCGGCGCCGACGTCAACAAGGCGGCCAAGTTCATCTTGTGGAGATTCAATCAGGTCAATCGCGCCAACCTAAACCTCTACCCGCATCTGATCCAGGCGACGGATACTAGTAATATCAAAATTGTGCTCAAGTCGGTCGAGGAGACGATTTCGCGGACAATCTTGAAAGATAGCGGGTTGATATAAGCATGTTGATCGGTTGCTGTTCTGCTTGGTATACGAATGGGTTTGCTCGCTGTGCAGAGAGAATTTCGCTTACTGATAGTCAGATTCTCTTTGAACTTCTGCCTTCTGATGGTCGGCCATACCGGGTTTGTTGTAGTGGCGATTGAATAGACAGTGATCGAGCAAGGGAGCTTTCTTCTGCTGGCGTCGGGCTAACTCGTTCGCAGCGCGCAGCCTCGACGAATCATGCGTCCTTTGCGGAGATAAGAAAGCAAGGACACGGTCACTAGAGGGGAGATCAACCTTGGAAAACAGGAAGTAGTCGTTGGAAACTGTTTCCTACATGACTCTGGAGCTGTGAGGATGAAAGAAGAGGAACACAGCGGTCCGACCTCGCCATAGAGACGGACGCAGGTGCCCCCGCAGCAAGGGAACCGACGAGCTCAAGCTACTTTGCATTGGCAAAGCTGCAGGTCAGAGTTCAGCCACGAAGCTTGGGGATAAAGACTCATCCGACGCAATATACGGAAGTGCGGGGTTGAAGAGGGGAAAGCGGGGGTTTGATTGATACAATGATTCATCGCCATCACATGACAACTACGCTCCTTCAGAGCTGCTAGGAAGCTACCCAACTACCGGACTGTCCTGGCTCAGTTACTGTCAAGCCCTGGAGCGTGCGGTGAGCATAAAAGTGTGTGTTCTGAGCCACACCCCAAAGCCCTTCCCTAAGCTCTCACTTCTACACTATTATACTCCCCTAATTGTCATATCCCGCCACTAACGGCATGTCATGTCTACTACATTGTCTTTTACAGTCTTTGTCTTTGTATCAATGCTATGCTTGTATTATAGCTTTATATTGTGCATGATTGAGCATGACAGCAGCGGCCGTAAACTATTCAAGACACTTTTATATGCCCGTAGATTCAAGCTTGGCATACACCTCGCAGTGTCTAGAAGATATGGATTTCCCTTCTCAGTCACCCTTTTTGAGCTCTGCGACGAAGAGAATTTGTCGGTAGGTACTTAATCATTACTACCTTTGCTTCTGAATCATTCTGAAAATTCCTCTAACAAAGAGACTATGTCTGTCATTTTAAACTGTAATTGTTATACTACCTTCCTTGCCAGCAGCTCTTTAACGCCCATGTCAAAGTTTCTGGTACAAAGACTTCGTGCGAAGCTTTGTGTCACCCAATGCATTTCTTTTCACCATACTATACCGATATAAAGCACTCTGACAACCACTTTTGTTGTTGGAACAAGACGTATAATAAGATCTTTATTCGAAGTGTTTATTAACGAGAAATACTCCCGACTGTATCTCCTAGAATATGCAGCAACCGCATCGTACAGACTTCCTCTTTCCCACAACCATGAAGATATAAAATCCTACTCAAATCCTCACATCCAGCTCCTCTCTCCCGATAGTCACCAGCATCAACCAGCCCAGGTTTTTCAAGACCGACTTCTAACCGAACAAGCACATTACAGCCATCTCACCGAGCTGACCGATTCAGGATTCCCTGCGGAATGGCCACCGAAGCCCCCACCGAGGCCCCCACCGAGGGTCTCTTCGAGCGGTGCTCCTACACCGTCACGACGGACCTGTACCCCGACGACGAGGGCGTGGGCACGGCGATCGAGACGTTGCGCCTGTATGGCGAAAATCTCGAGGCCGCGGGCCCCTGGCCCAAGCTCGCCGCACGTCTGCTGCGCGAGCGCTGGGGCCGGTACCCGCTCGTCGAGGGCAAGGCGCGCCGCCGCGCCGCGGTCGTCATCTGCCGCGACCGCGTGCGCATGTTCGTCGATGACCGCTCCTCCCGCCTGGCGCGGATCTTCGTCTTCCGGGATGAGATAGAGTGGCATGCGGACGGGTGGTACGAGCCCGTGTTGGAGGCCTTGTCGGGCGCCCTCGCGGATCCGCGGAGGCCGTCGTCGCAGCTGCGCCGCGTAAGTTCGACGTTAGGGCAGCAGTAGGCGTGTTGGGGCTGGGTGCCTCTGGGTGGAGATGATTTTTCTTTGGACGTAGCCAAGACTGTGAAAATAAATCAAATATTCAAAAGGTTTAGTGAAGAAGATAAGAGCGTAGAGTGTCATGGGCCTGGCTATCGGGTGATTGTTGTAAGCTTTGGGTTGATATGACCCCCTTGTGTATTATATGCCTTCGTGATTTTGATTGCGCCTGAGTTCTAGCGATAGTGGATTTGAACAGGTTAAGTATAGAAGAACCACTGAAATGTTGATTTCCTTGTAGTCAAGATATATCAAGAGATCGTGTAGTTTCGCTGTATCGAATTAGACAGTATAGGGTTCGTGGCACTGTCCCAACTGCCGACTTTGCTACTTCTCCAACATGGAAGACGTAGACCAGCTCAAGTATATCACCGGACTGGACTGGATTTCTTGATCTTATGCATGGCATAATGACTTGCTGCTAGCCAAGCGAAGGGTTGATCTATCATGACCGGGCAGGAGCATAAGAGTGCGTGCTCATTAAACAAATGGTGAGTGTGCATTGTGTACGCAGAGCTGAGTAAGTCCTCTACAGCACGATATCGCCGTAGTGTAACTTATCAGTCTCAGACATAAGCTCTTATAGGTGAAGAGAATCACTCCTAGTGCCAATTTGCAATAGGTTACAAGCCTCACACACCACAGATAAGACCTCCTGCATCTTGGTAGTCCTTGTAATTTTACTCTGTTGTCAGGGTCATTATCCCGACCTCCGACCTCCGATGTCCGACTTGCCACCGCCCCGTTTCCCACAATCTCAAATCCGTGCTATGGACGGATTTCAGCAAGAACATTTGTTGCCCCACAACAATTGCACTGGGAATCCTACAAACTGGCTGGAACCGTGGTACGTAACCTGTGGTGGATTGCGAACTTCCTGAATCTGGAGACCCCGCGCTTCTCCATATATCACCCCGGACTCAGGAGGGTTTTGTGGGGATGACAGAGGGTGAAGCTTTCGCAAGCTGAGGTTGGACAGAGCCACTCTGCTTGGGTATGATTTGCTCAGCACAACCTCGGCGCAATCTCTCTCTCGCCCTCTGGCCAAGGCTACCGGAAATGCAGAGCCTTCGCCCCGAGTTTCAGGAATAGTACCTCACTCCATTCGCGAGTGACGCTGGAGATTTTTTCTAAGCCAGCCGACTCAACCGTTGATATCGAAGTCAAATCTTTCTGAGCCGAGGGACACTGTGGACTTGACCGTCGGAGAATAGGCGATGACTTCCCAACAAGGACTAGTTCTACCCACGATCTGTGGGAATGGAGAGAAATGAAGAACCAGTTTGTGGGGCATTATGCAGCTTTCTGTCGGAGTTGCGAAGCTAGACTGACGATCGCACCTTTCTCATCAAGCTTCGGTCCAAGGGAGATGAGCATTGGCAGAAAAAGGAGCCCGGAATGATATAAAACGGTGTGTCCCATCTGTCAGGGCTGTTCATTCTGTCGCCAGCATCCTTATCTTTCGACTCACTTCTTCTTCTCATTCCTCACACCCTCCATACAGAGATGCGTTCATCTGTCTGGGTCCCCTTGACGGGGCTAGCAGCACTCGCCCATGGAGCCAGCTTAAGCGACATCTGCACCACCAGCTACGCCACCACTGCGTTTCCGGCCACCGACCTCATCCCCGGCATCACCCTCGACCCCTCGTCCATCACCACCGCGCTCGTCACCAACAGCTCCGTCACGAGTGACTTCTTCCCCTCCTCCGTGATTGACTACTGCAATGTCACCTTCGCGTACTCGCACAATGGCCGCGACGACCAGGTCTACCTTCAGATCTGGCTGCCTGACCCCTCCATCTTCCAGAACCGGTGGTTGTCCACAGGCGGTGGTGGCTACGCGATCAACTCCGGATCCAACTCGCTTCCTGGAGGCATCATCTACGGCGCTGCGTCGGGTCTCACCGACGGCGGCTTCGGATCCTTCGATACCAACGCCGATGCCGCGATGCTGCTGGCCAATTACACCCTCGACTACGAGACCCTCTACATGTTCGCCTACAAGGCGCACTGGGAACTCACCAAGATCGGCAAGGCGTTCACCAGGAATGTCTACAATGTGACCGACGACGAGAAGCTGTACGCCTACTACCAGGGTTGCTCCGAGGGCGGTCGCGAGGGCTGGAGCCAGGTCCAGCGTTATGGCGACGAGTGGGATGGAGCTGCTATCGGCGCCCCAGGTAGGTCATTCCCCACTCCCTAACATCCCTTCCCGAGTCCAGGGCTTGCTAACCCTCACCCAGCCTTCCGGTGGAGCTTCCAACAGACGCAGCACCTGTGGAGCAACGTCGTCGAGCAAACCCTGGACTACTACCCGCCGCCGTGCGAGCTGGAGAAGATCGTCAACGCGACCATCACGGCGTGTGACCCGCTCGACGGCAAGACGGACGGGGTGGTGGCGCGCTCCGACCTGTGCGCGCTGCACTTCAACATCAGCAGCCTGATCGGCGAGGCGTACTCGTGCGCCGCGACGGCAGGCAGCCGGTTCTCGAGCGCGACGCCGGCGCAGAACGGCACGGTGTCGGCGCAGGGCATCCAGGTGGCACAGACGATCCTGGACGGGGCGCACGACTTGGCAGGCAAGCGGGTGTACTTCTCGTACCAGCCGGCGGCGGCGTTCGACGACGCGGCGACGCAGTACAACAGCACGACGGGCGAGTGGGGGCTGGAGATCGACCAGCTGGGCGGCGAGCACATCGGCCTGCTGGTGTACGAGAACGGCACGACGCTCGACAGCCTGGCCGGCGTCACCTACGACACCCTCAAGGAGTGGATGATCTCTGGCCTCCTGCAGTACTACAGCACCCTGCAGACCACCTGGCCCGACCTGACCCCCTTCTACACCGCCGGCGGCAAGGTCATCCACTTCCACGGCGAGGCCGACGCCTCCATCCCCACCGCCTCCTCCGTCCGCTACTGGGAATCCGTCCGCAGCGTCATGTACCCTGCCCTCTCCTACAACGCCAGCGCCGCCGCCCTGAACGACTGGTACCGCCTCTTCCTCGTGCCCGGCGCCGCCCACTGCGCCACCAACGACGCCATGCCCAACGGGCCCTTCCCGAATAAGAACCTCGAGGTCTTGATCGACTGGGTCGAGAACGGCGTCGTGCCCGTCACGCTGAACGGCACCGTGCTGCAGGGCGAGAACGAGGGCCAGGAGCAGCCGATCTGCGCGTGGCCGCTGCGGCCCCTCTGGAACGGGGACGAGTTGGAGTGCGTCTATGACCAGGCTTCCATCGATACTTGGCATTATGACTTGAATGCGGTGCCGGTGCCGGTTTACTAAGGGAGCACTCCTTAGTATTGCACGCGTGTGTTGGAGCGAATGTGTGTATATAGTGATTAGGCTTGTGGGTGTGGAGGGGAGAGAGTCTTTAAGCTTCTAACCGTCCTGAATTTATTAATTTCGTGAAGCTTTTCTCTCGTAAGTGGCAGTCGCGAGAACTGACTCGTGGCATATAGCGTATCACTACAAGATAGTTCAGCATGACATGGAGGATTTGTCACGCTGATTGTCCCGAGGTCTACCATCCATCGCGCCGGGATATATAGGTACGTGTTACTCCCCACCAGTTCAACGATAATAGATACATGGAGCTCTGTTGGCTCCTGCTTGATACGCCTATTCAATTCCAGACTACTTGCTCCAACAGCCACAGAATTCGCGCGATACGACTAATAACCAAGCATTTGTATGTCCTTACCCAACGTCCACACCTTTCCCCTGCGCTGGCGCCAAGCGTCAAGATTCCATAGTGTACCAGTGCTATGCCCAAAGAATACGCACGATCTTGTAATCATAATAACGATTGGTATTGTTCCACATCCAAAACCATTGTGTGGAGGACACAAGGCCTTTATCCTGCAGAACAAGCGACATGCGCACACGGCAAGCAGACAGACGGAAGCTGAATGTTTTACCCAATGAAGTAACCCCACCAGTCCCGAAGTTTAGCCTGCCAATTGCATCGCGTGGGTGCAAGACATTATGCGCATACTGATCAGCTAATGTCAGTAATGCAACACCGAGCGGGCGATGTTACCCGATACAACAGAAAAGTATGGCTCCACTCCCGCCGACAACCACCGCATAATTGGATCTGAGGGACTCCCACCTCATACACCCCATACAGAGATTCGATTATCAGGGCAGAGGGATCTCCTGCGCGCGGGAGGTCGGGCCGAGCGGCCGATTTCAAGCTGACTGCGTGTATACAAAAGGAAGAGAAAAGCCCCGGACCAGTCACTGCAGCATATACCGTTGTGTCTGTGCGAGCTCGGGACATTGCACAGCACTCCAACCTACCCCATCTACTACACTACATCACACCACCTTCCAACATCCTCCAACCGAAGCAAGACATCCACCGCCAAAATGTCCTCACCTTCCGAGATCGACTACGCCTGGACCCCCACCACCACAACCCGGTGGGAGCGGCCCCTCGACGAAGCCGAGCAGTTCTACACCTCCCTCGCCAAAGCCCACGAGGCCACCGGCCGCGTCTTCTTCGCCATGACCGGCGCGGTCACCTGCTCCCTCCCCATCCACGGGACGGACCGCGCTGCCACGGAGCGCAGAATGGGGGACGCCCTGCGCCGGGCGTGGCTGCAGCTGCGCTACGACCATCCGACCATCGCCGCGCGCGTGGAGTACGCTCTACACCAGGGGCGGTGTAAGAAGGTGTACGAGACGTTCTCGGACGCGTACACGCCGGCGGACTGGCTGGACGAGACGTTTCGGGTCGTCGACGCGGGCGTTACGGGCCAGGAGTGGTGTAACTCGGACCCGCCGGTGCCGGACCTGCCGACGCTGTTCCTGATTAAGGAGGGGTCGGGCCCGCACGAGTCGGAAGGACGCGTGCGCGCGACCGTGGTGCTCAGGGCGCGACATGATATCGTCGATGGGGTGGGGACGCTGATGCTGTTCGAGAATCTGTTCCGGCATGCCGCGCGGGCGTATGAGACCGGGCCCTCCGGGTATACACCACCCACGTTTGGCGGGGAGTGGGTAAATCTGAGTCCACCGCTTCGGGTGGCAGCGGGGATCCCGGCGCGATTGAGCTCGGAGCAGGAAGCGCGCATGCGGGAGATTTTGGAGTTCAATGCAGCCCTCAAGAAAGAAGCGGTGGAGATTGCGAGTGTGCCGTTCAATAGGCAAGCAAGCCTGCCGGGGAGGCACCAGAGGGTGACGATTACGCTGTCCGCGGAGACGACCGCGCGGGTGCTGGCGGCGTGCAAGGCGGCAGCGCTTAGCATCACGCACGCCTATCACGCTGCCATTGCGCTCGGTGTGCGGGACCTCCAGGAGCGGCAGCCCGCGACGCGAGTGGTTCGGTATCTCAATTACAGTCTCATTAATGAGCGCGGCCACTGCGCGGCGCCGTATAGTACCGTCGCGCATCCGGCCGCATTGTACCACTCGGTCTCGGGGCGCGGGCTAGCAGTCGACCTGACTGTTCCTGCGTCGTCGGACTCGGTGGATCCGGTCTCTGAAGAGACGAGGAGCAAGGAGTTCATGGACACCGCGGGGACGATCCGGGATTTCTACCTCGACATTCGTGATGATGCAGAGCATATCAATCTTGTCCCCTCGTACTGGGCGATGTCGACGATCCCTTATCCGGCCGATGGGAAGACTCCGCCGGTCCCGCCGCGGAATGAGACGCCGTCTGTGTCGATATCCAGCATGGGGATTCTGGACCGAGTGATCAGGCCGAATCAAGGAATCTTCGAGCTGGACGATCCTTGGGTGACGGGCGAGGAGTTGGGGACCGGCCTTGGGCTGTTTCTCGGAACATGGAAGGGGAAATTAACGCTGAGCGGAGCGTACAATGACGCATTCCATGATAAAGAGGAAGTGTTGGGGTTCCTGCGGCGCTGTAACCAGAGCACGCTTCAAGGTTTGGGGATTGAGCAATAGGATTGAGTGCGTCGGAGGTTACAGGTAGTCCTGTACACGTAAAGGAACGCCATGAATGCTAGTGCGATGGCTGAATAACGATGAAACATTTGAGGGCGCACAGGTTGCATATCCGAGTACCGGGAGCTTTCTTTTAGAGTTGGCGAGTTGGGCTCGAACCGTGTCAATCTGACAATATACAAGCTTATAATTCATTGTCTGGCCACGCTGGTTGATGAAGGGTGATACTTTCTTCGGTATAATTGCGTAGAGAGATGGTAAAAGAATAGGAAATGCTTAGTACGCTGGCTCAACGAGGTCAACATACACAACTTGTTGACTAGTCGGTAACGCTTTGGTAGGCCAGCTTGCGGACACTTCCGCGGATGTCTAAAAGTTCGCATCGCGTATTCAATCACGTGTACTGTCTTCGGGTATCTATTGCTGAATTAATTGCATGTCTACAGGATCGGTGAAGGCAGTGTATTCCGCGCCGTAATTCTGAAACGCCACTGCGCAGGACGACACAGCTAGCCTTCGTTGCCACGGAGTGAGACTCCCTAGCATAATACGCCGACTTTTGGCGATTTGGTTAGCCAAGCGTCACATAATGAGTATCCGAGAGACATCCGGCAAAGTCTCCGTCCACTTCTTCGACGTCGATTTCCAAATGGCAGGCAATGCATCAATAGCCTTGGTGATATTGGCGAAGAGAGTGTTCGAGTGAATGGCTCCCATGTAATAAGTGAAGAACGCGCGATGTTCTGGCTCCGTACTGTCTGCCGCCGCGATAAAGCATGGCCAGACGAACCCATGGGCTCCCGGATCCGTCGGATGCGCCTGAGCGATTAGCCGGCGCAGCTCTTCCCGCAGATGCCATGAGCTTTCGTTCGATGTCATCCGCATTAGGTAGATCTGGGCGCCAATAGTGAATGATCGCCTGGCCAGCCAGAGTGTTCTATTGTGTTGAGCGTCTGCACGAACGCTGGACGGTAACCAGACCCCGGAGTCCACGGGATGGCTTAAGGTCTTAAGGCCCTCATCCTTGTTGAGTAGAGACCCGCCCAGAAATGAGAACATGTCGGTCTGTCGTAGAAGGAACTCGTGCAGTTGAGGGTGCCCCGATGACTTGACGTTCTTGGCCATGGTAAACAGCGTCTGGAGCAGGAACTTGTACTCCGGGCTGCCAGTCACCGTCTCCCCGACGAGGAGTACGAGCAATGTTGCCCATGTAGCCGGGTTGAACACCTGATCGGGCGACCCGACGTTGGAGGCCCGCAACAAGCGGGATATAATAACGGAGCGATCGGCTTCTGCTGCCGCATGTAATGCTGGTTGCCTGAGGCCAACGTGCTGAGCAGCCACCACGGCAACAGCGCGCTGCAGCACCTCATCCTGACAAGCCATCGGAAGGATGAAATCGCGATAGCCATTGGAGATATCCAGCAAAACCATGACCGGGGCGATGTTACTGGCAAAATAGTGGAATAGTCCACGGGTTTGTGAGCTCAAAGGAGCGATCCAAGGCTGAATTGCCTGGTCCATCCTTCTGGTTAAGATTGCGGTCTTGTCGGCTTTGTCATTCTCAACATCCTCTTCGGGCGATACCAAGGTCGCGGAATAGTGCGCGAAGTTTGTTTCGTCTATACCAATTGTAGTCGAGGTCGACGTCGTAGGAAGGGCAACTACAGGCTCGCTGCGTGGCAAAAGACGGTTTTCAAGTGACATCGGAGAGAACCGTTCGACGGCATCGTGTTGTCCATCGACTGGCGCATTCGAGACTGGCTTCGAAGCACGACTCTTGCTAACCCTTTTCTTCCTCTCATGAGACCATCGAATCTGCGAGACGATAGGAACGCATTGTTTGTGAACAGAGACCGGGTCGACATTGAGGACGGGGATAGGGCTGCCTTTCAACTTCCCACGCGTCGCGACCCCATTGCCGAACCGAAAGCGACCGAGGCCACTGCACTCAATCCCCTTCTTCAGGCATTTTTGACAGGTAGGTTCGGCCCTATCGCAGACAATCCGTCGCTTGGTACATTGAAAGCATCCTGGCGAGGGGAGACAGAGACAGTTAGCTCGAGATTTGCCTGGGGTGTTTCTGCGGGGGCGCAATCGCACATACCACGCGATTTGGTACTTTGGTCGGTGTCGGTCCCGGTCATCTAAACAAGTGGACTGACGACCAATGAACCCAATTCATGTGTTCATGTAGGGACCTTAGGCTGGATGTGACAAGCGCATGAGAGTGATTGGTGGAATGATTAGATTATCGATGTCTTCTCGACGAGCAGCAGCAGCAGCAGCAGAGTAGGAAATGGAGATGAAGATAAGAAAGAGCAAGAAGCACAATCGTGCAGATTACGGAGTGCCCGGCCATTCCCCGTTCGCTTCCCCGTTCCGGAACGGAATAACTACCTAGCCTCCATCCGAACAATGACTAATCTGCTAGTCACACTGCTGCCTTTGGTTGTGCAGTAAACATTCAAACATTCATGGATTACATTGTTGATGGCACATGGCTGCCGCTTTAACCGGAATGAGGATTATATCATTGCTCCAATCATATCCACCATACTGACCATGTCAGTAACACAAATCACGGTTGACTGTCCCTGTAGAGCACTCCACCCCGTATCTATGCCGATCTGAGCTTGACAGAATCAAGCCTTTGGTGATCATTTCTTGGTGACACTGATACTTGACCAGGTTCGCGGGCTGACATGGGCCCTTGCAGTTGGGAGAATGTCATCAGACTGGTCATGTTTCAACGGCCGTGTACCTCTGCACTCCTGCAACCCAGTCTGATGCGCATGCTGGACATTCCACCTAGAATAGAGTGGGTAGCGAAGCGGATGGCTTGAGCCCCGCCGAGCGCTAAATTGTCTGCTCGGGCTGGATTCCTCAACATGGAAGCTAATTTGAAAGTCAATATGAAATTCAAGGAGACCGACGGTGACGACAGCCACTCTCAGCAGGTGCCTGACCGAGTTGTTCGCCCTATCATGGCGCGATATGAAGAGTGCCCCTCATCAGGCCAATCTCCTGCGGACTCCGACGCGCCTTGCTTGCTTATCGCTCGGTGGGCCAGCTGGCTGCACCAATCCCCAGCCAGGCTGACGCAAACCCCACTATCGGCAATATCCATCATGGACAACGGATCCACCCATTGTAGTTGAGTGACGGCGATGGTGGTGGTGATGCTGCTGCTGCTGCTGCTACTTGCTCCTGTCCTCCCATGTCACCCGCAGGTAGCACCAATGGTCTTTCACACTCTCACGACTGCTCACGCACGAGTTCAGACAGTCCTGACGAAATGAAGGGAGATGAGTACAAGCTGCGCGCTAAAGATTTAGTCTGCAGATTAATCTCCAAGCGAAAGTGACCGAGTCACCCGGCAGCATGAGGTTGTTCGCAGTGAGGTAGAAGTATAAAACCCACCCGCGATACCCCTCTCTCACAATCCTCACTATACCTCCTTCCGTTCTCTACCATTGTAACAAGATCTTTCTTTATCACTGCCTTTCACAATGCGCTTCACCGCCGGTTCCCTGGCTGCTGCCACTCTCCTTGCGGGTGTTGTCTCAGCAGCCCCTGCCCCCGCCCGCAATGGTCTGAGCAAAAGGGTGTACAAGCCCACTCCCATTGCCAGCCGTGCTAGCAACAAGGCTTCGTCCAGTGTCTTGGAACTGAAGAAGGTGAAGAGTAGCAGTGGTGCGAGCCGCAGCGCTTCCCGTCTGAAGAAAACCAGCTCCAGCACGACTACCTCCGGCAGCTCTACCTTGATCTCGCTCTTTGAAGGCGAGGAATTTGCTACCTCCATCACAGTTGGCGGGGCCTCTTTCGACGTGATCGTTGACACCGGTTCCAGTGATCTGTGGCTGGTGGAAGAGGGCTTCACCTGCCTGAACGAGAACGAGAAGCAGGTCTCTGAATCCACCTGCGCGTTCGGTCCCACCTGGTCACCCACGAGCGCCTTCGCCAAGATCTCCGGCGAGGAATTCTCCATCAGCTATGGCGACGGAGAATTTGCCATCGGAGTTATGGGCAAGGATGAAGTCACGCTGGCCGGGATCAGCGTCGAGCAGGAGCTGGCCGGTGTCACCGAGGCATACTGGGAGGGAGATGGTACCACTTCCGGTCTCGTTGGTCTGGCCTACCCCGGCATGTAAGTTTCTCTTCAGCACACTGGAGCTCATTGCGGTTGGCGTGTCACAAAACGGTCTAACTTATCTGCCCACAGTACGAGTGCCTACAGCACCCGCACCGAGCAGCAGGTGGAATACGACCCCATCATCACCACCCTAGTCGATGAAGGTCTCATCGACTCCTACTTCAGCATCGCCATCGAGCGCGATGTCTCCGGGGCTGCTGGTTACATCACCCTTGGCGGTCTCCCTCCCGTCAACTACACTGACACCTGGTCTTCCACCGATATCCTGGTGACCACCTACGACGGTCAGGACGAAGGCTACGCCTACTACACCATCGAGATCGATGCCGTCACTCTGAGTGGCAAGTCGCTCACCGCGGCCGGGGGCAGTAGCATCCAGTACATTGTCGACAGCGGCACGACCCTCAACTACTACCCGACTTCGATCGCGGCCGAAGTCAACGCTGCCTTCTCCCCTGCCGCCACGTACAGCGAGGATGAGGGCGCCTACGTGGTCGACTGCGATGCCACGGCCCCCGCCCACGGAATCACCATCGGTGGAACCACCTACATCATCAACCCCCTGGACATGATCCTCGACGCCGGCACCGATGACAGTGGCAACACTGTCTGTATCTCGGGTATTGTCGATGGTGGCGACGACTACAGCGAAGATATCTTTATCCTTGGCGATGTCTTCCTGAAGAATGTGGTCGCCGTCTTTGACGTTGGTGATGTGGAGCTCAAGTTCGCTCCCAGAGAATTTTACGACTCCAATGACACCTACTAAGGGCTGTTGCGTTGCAGCTTGAGAAGACGGAGCTTAGCGGGTTGCCTTTGCAATATGTGTCGACGTCGATGTTTGATTTATTCATGTGATATGATCTGACGTTACAGACCGATTGTATACTTTTGGTCTGTTGCATGCGGTCACCGGCTGTGCCGGGCTATGTTAAATAATACGAAGTTTGGTGATTTGTGATCAATTAAAAAAGGTTTTTATTCTGACTTGTGAGGATTTGAGCCTATTCTTCAACGTGGAGAGCGCTGGCGGGCCGAAATCGGAAGGCGCGTCTGCGACTCGGGAGTAGAAACGCCAACTTCCAACCTTTAAACACTTCTCCACAACTCCGTCCAACGACACCCTCTGCACTCGTCCTGTCCTCAACCACCCTATCAATGAGCCTCTTTCATCCCAAACTCCAATACGCACTCGCACTTTCGAAAAGGCTTTCACATTCCTCTCCCTTAATTTATCCTGTGCCTCGTCCAAGGCTCCAGCTGGCCGAAAGAACAACGCGCAGCGACCACATCGATCCTTGGCGCAATTGCGAAACACCATGCGTTGGATATTGATGGCTTCTCCGATCTCGTACTCTGCCTAAGCTCCTTCATCTGAAGTCTTCAAATATATCTATGTGGCATATTGCACCGACCGCACGGGCGTGGTTGACGTGGCCCGTCTCGATAGCCGCCGTGCGGGTTTCATCCAAGGCCGGAGAGAACAAAACATCGTCCAGGAAGTTGATGAGGAATGTGCAGGGCTTGCGTGCGGCTGTACAATCTTGACACCTTGTTATTCTATCACACGTGGTGGTGGTGGTGGTGGTGCTGCTGCTGCTGCTGCTGCCATCTACACCAATGTTGACCCTGAGAACCTCAGGACTTGGGATTAAGCCGACACTGAACACGTCATCCATCTACAAGAACTATACTCCATATCAATCACGTATTGATGGCTTAATGTGGCTATGGAGCATGAAGATATCCTTTGAAATGTTTGATACTGCTCTGTGCTCTTACCCTCCTAGGAAAACCAGCGATAGCCAAAGAACAACCCCCCGCTCAACTCCAGGTGCAATCCGACAAATCCTCGCGCGCACGATCACAGTTAGACTGGCCGGAGTGGGTATAGCACAGGCCAGCGACGCCCGCCGCCCACAGGGCCCCGCATTCCCACATCACAATCGCCAAGTCCCACAGCTCGCGGATCTTTTGGTCCTGCGGGTACGCGATCTCCGCCGCCAGCACCGCCCCCACGTATTCATTCTCCAGGGGGAGGTGGTCGTCCGTCCCGCGCACGTACGCGAGCACCGGCCGGACCAGGAGATCGGCCACACGCCGGGTTTGCGCCAACGGATTTGATGCCAGCAGTGCGTTGAAGCGCGCCTCGGCCGCCGCGAAGGCGCCTTCTCCGCGCTCGACGGGCGTGCCGCACGCGCGGAAGTGCTCTAGTGACGGTCGCGCGGTGGGAATGGTGGCCGCGATTGCCATGGCCTCGACACTCAGGTCAGTCCGGTCGAGGAGGGTAATGGGTCGGTGGCGGCAGTTGGCGAGCTGCCACCAGTGGGTGAAGAGGATGCACAAGGCGGCTGGGTTATAGGGGTCGTGGTCGCGATACCAGATCATGGCGCCCACCAAGCGCGAGTAAACCTCCGCCAGGGGCCCTTCATCCAGTGCTCCCTGCGTCAATGTAGGTATGATATTGCTAATCTCGCCGCAGGCCAGGTCCGCGCCCAGATCAATCCAGTCATGTACCACGCAGCCCAGCCCCGCCATCGCGGCCATCTGCTCGCCGCCCCCGGAGTCGTAGTAGACATGGCAGAACACCGCGTCCGCGAGCTTGTAGCGGGCCAGCCGCGCCAAATCGTCCCAGACCACCATGCACGGCCGGGAGACAACCGTTGCGGTGTCCTCGATGATGGTCTTCTGGCGGAGACAGGCGTAGTTGCGCCCCTTGACGACGCGAATGTCGGTGATGTGCGGGCCCGCGGAGACGGCTGCCTCGGCGGTGGCCGCCACATCGGCAAAGGCGCCGGCTAGTTTCTCCGCCATGGCTGGGCTGTTCTTACCGATCGAGTAGTCGAGTACGAAGGCCGAGTCCATGATCGCCCAGAGGCCCGAGATCGACCCCCCATAGACGCCCCGGTTGTAGCCCACGGCCATGGAGAAGATGCTCGTGTTAAGCAGCGGGCCAACGCAGTTCTCGGCTGCCAGAACCTCGGTCGTGGCTGGGTCGAGCGAGTGCGCCACGCCACTCAGCTTGGGAGGTAGAGGTTTGCGAGCGACACACCAGGTGGGCATTGGAGCTGCATGAACTGCAGCGAACGGAAGGCGCTCCGTGACCCCCGTCGAGATCACCTTGTTCCGTGCTGCCAGGAGCACCGCGGCGTCCGCGAGCAGCTCTAGGGCACGGTCTACAGCGTCCGCCACGCGCGTGTTGCGCCCCCACGAGATGTTCGCCGCCGCAGTCAGGACGCCTCCGGTCTGCGGGGTGTCAGAACGACAGGCTAGGCTGATGGTCGTGACCAACGTGTCGGTTTCAGCGTGGTAGTGCTGGGTAAATTTACTGGACCCTGCCTCGACCGGACCGATGCCATGCGTCTTGAGCGACCAGCAGGGAGCGCCCAAGGGACACTGCATTGTTGACCCTTCGCCCAGCACATGGCTGGTGAACCACGTCGATGTAAGACAGACCGTCGCTGCAGGGTCTGCAGCCGACGCCTCGCCGGTGCGATCGCCCCAGTGTGAAACGACCGGCAGGCCATCAAAGGCGGGCGACCGACTGCGACCTCCACTAATCACCAGCCCTGGCACAAGATCTGACAAGGGCTGACCGGGACTCTGCTGGTCCCAAGGCAGTTGGATATCCTTCGAGCGAGCGAGAATCATGTCAATTTGGGCCTGGTCCATGCCAACAGACTTGCTGCCTGGCTTATGTCTAGAAATCATAGGCAAAGACCGTTTGATGTTGGACATGAAGTCGGTGGCGTCCCGACAGGACATTCGCGTGTTGAACGAAGGCTGTTCTTCGGCGCGCGGGTCGACCAGCCCCCCCCCCCGAGATCACCGCGTCCGGGAGGCTTTCTGTGCGGGCACTGTAAGGCATGATGAGTTGCTTGTGTATGTGACACGACGAAGCTACCGCGAGACCACTGCAATTATATTCTTTCCGACAGACTCTGGAAAGGACTTTGGTTTGGTCGTGGTACAGTACTCACCATAACGACAGAGGCTTGGGGTTTAAGAACCCTCGCAGAATGCTGTTTTGCTTAGTTGAATGCCTTTCGTATCTTTGTACGCAGCATTAGCCTTGCGCAGCTCTTCAACCTCATAGGTGGGTGCTGAAATAATGACCCGGAGTTTGTCCACGTATCAATCAAAAGCAAACAACATGTCTCGGCCTCCGAAAAAAGGTCAGACATAATCCCTGTATCGATTGATAACTAAAAGCCAATCCAGCCAATTGGGAATACTACCCATGGAGTTGTCCCGGCAGAGCTGCAGCTGAGACATGCGATATGCATGTGTCTGCTCATATGTGACAATCGCATGCTGTGATTGACATCATATCTAATCACCTCCGCACGAAGGGCTACGCACTAAGCCCCTAATCATCATAGTGATCCAAGTCAGCTCGACTCAAACCATCCATCAACTCGTCTCTTTCCACAAGGGGTTACCTTGCTATTCGCCGGCTCTAAATTCCACAAGTAGATAAGATTCCTGACAGCGACCTGATTTCTTCGATCGCAAGAAAACAGGGAACGAGTCGATATCTCTCTCTCTGACCAGGCCAAAGGCCCCTTCAGTTCTATGGATTGCTCACTGCTTGTTGCTATTCTACTGAGCTCTACACTCCCTGCCTCGCTACGGTTCGAACCGGGGCTGGACGCAACGCGCCCGCCGCACCAGCTCACCCCACAGTAAGTGTACAGAACACTTTGCACCCGCGTTGAACCCTAGCACTCATTCCCAAAGTGCTCTCCACTGGACTCTCGTCATCTTGACAGAACAAGCATTCCTGCGCCCCGGTCACTTCCCCTTCGCCTTGCCCCCCGCCTCCGCAGAAAAGTCCCGACAGCGGTGTCGGGAGGCCGCGCTGAAGATCTGGAAGCTCGTCGAGGCCTACCAACAAACCTTCGCCCTCCGACGCGCGCAGTACGGCATAGCCTATGCGACGTATTGTGCCGTGGTCGTCATGCTCCAGCACACCCGCAGCGTCGACGAGGATGTGCACTGCATCCGTTTCTTCTGGTCCGCCTTGCTGGAGTACCAGAAAGGATGCTCGTATGGCCTGAAGCGACCGTTGAAATTGCTGAGGTCGCTCATGCGCCGGCTGGAGTCGGTGGCGAATCTCCTCGAAGCGGAGGACCGCGCGGCGGATGGGGCCGCGCCTGCTGGTGAGTAGGCCGCTGGTCTCCATCTTCACTACTACACCTCTGAATCACTATCTAGTAAGGCTGAGCTCTATAGCAGATGTAGGTCTACATTAGCCACTAGAGGCTGAAGCATGGGATCCTTCGACGTTGGATGCTCTGCCGGACGATTTTTTCCTGGCTGACGAGTCGATGTTCGGTATGTTCGGCGGATAAATGCGATGCGCAAGAGTTATAGGGTACGTGGTGTTAGTCCTTCATCTGTCCCGGCATTGGTATAGGGAGGGTTCAAACTATCATGTTGTGATCTGACATGTCAAACGAATCTCTTTAGGATTGGAACGGCCAAGCGCCCAGACAAAAAGTGGAACTGCCAAGCATACTCAAATATGCCTAAGCTGGGACCTTGCGTGCCAAGCTTGCGTGCAATGCAAAAGGAGTCAACGCACGCAAGCTTATCCGGTTTCCCATGAGGATGTATAATAATGTCGAACAGGGCGTGCTGAGGGCATTCTCCGGGTGACCTTCCTGAAGGCCCAATGGATTATTGTTAATTTAAGACTCGCAGAGCAACTCCTGGGCAGGGAATTTGGAGGCGCAATCTGGAAACAGGTGCGCCAAACATCCTTCGCCGCTGGCCGGTGACATGCCCACTAACCACCTCTACACTCAAGAACATCCGGCACAGCGGTCCCTGTCTTCTGTTTCCCTGATCCACTCAGGAAAGTTACTCGAAAACTCAAAGAGGATGCGGAAGATTTGCTCCACGTGACGTTCGGCCGGGCGTTTCAAGTCGTGGGAGGGACGTGGAGGCTTGTCGCGTCGATAGGTCAACTGGAGGTATATCATCGTTGCTATAGTCTGCTGTCTAACTTGATGGATAACGATTTTGCCTCCATGCCAAGGATTCGATTAGCGAACACCCACTAATGAGCTGCATCCATCTCTGGCTAATTTTCCCGGTGAGCATGCTCGTCCGGATTTTCCGGGGCCTCGGAGGACATGAACCCTATACGACTGACATGAGCGTCGGCCCCGGAAGGGTCTATCCACTCCATCCTCGAAAACACACGAGTACAACACCGGTGATTAGACTACCCATGTCTTCAACATCTTATCCGTGCAATTGGATCGGAGTCCTATATCTCATTGCCATTAAATATACTAAAGTACAAACGCAGACGACCCATTAAATAAATGAATACTAAATCAAGGAATCCGCGTACCCCATATCCGCACCCTATGCTAGCCAGCAAGAAACAAAGAAAGAGATATGATCGCACCAACAAGCAACAGCAGCATTATAGATCTGACCACTACATGGTCTCGGGGTCTATTCATGCAACTATCTCACCGCCCAGCCGACGGTCCATCCCCGGACAGTTCGTACAAGTGGGTGCTCTTTCGCTTCGCGTCCTCCGGCAGCTCGTATCTCTGCCACATCTCCGGCCGCATCTCGGTCGGGCTGTGGGGCTCGCGCGGGGTGGGCGCGCTGGAGCCCAGCATCATCCCGTTGTGGTCCCGCTGAGCGCGACGCGACCGTTTGCGGACCAGCAGGAACGCGGCCGCAGCGAGGCTGATGGCTGCGACGGGGACGCAGACGCCGATGGCGGCCTTGCTGCCTGTGCTTAGCGAAGTAGAGGACTTGCTGGCGGGTGTTCGGGCCTGGGTGGGCGATGGTGTGGATGGGATGCTGGCGGTCTCTGATGTTGATGTGGCGACAGGGCTGGGTGTGGTTGTTACGGAGGCAGCTGGGGCGGCAGGGCTTGTGGTAGAAGTTGTAGCTGACAGGGTCGATGCTGTTGTGGTCGCTGGGAACATGTTAGTGGGATTCAATGGGACGGTTGAAGGACAAGAAAGGAGGTAAGTACATGTGCTGGCAGGCTGCACTGGTTCGGTCGTCGTTGTCGCGGTCGCATTGAACATGCAGTAGCTGTGGAAGACCTCCAACGCGGTCGAGACCTGATTCTCTGAGTTTGTCCCGCAATTGGATCCGACGCCGGAGGAGATGATGTGATTGAACTCGGAGGAGCTGGCGGTGCAGAAGCAGCTGTAGGATGTGTATTTGCCCCCGTCACCGCAGCCAGACACCATGTCCCGGACGACGCTGCTGAGCGGGGCGACTGCACATTGTGATAACGATGAGTAGTCTGCTACTTTGTTGATGTAGTAGGTTGTTGTGCACCGGGCTGGGATCGACAGCGATAATGCAAGAAGAGCGCGCAAATAACTTTTTCTGTTGTGGCTCGACATCGTGCTGTTGGGACTTTGCCTGGTCAAATCCAGGAAAAAGGGCTCAGTGGTAGGGACTGGAACATGGATGTGGGGGCGCCTTTTCTATATAAGGGTATGACAAGGAACGATGGATAAGAAAAAAACAAGATGTTTGTTGGGGGCGATGGCCCCATCGCCAGCACGGGACAGTCGGGCTGTCTTCAGGATTTAGCAGTGAAGCCCTAAGGTCCGGACGAAAATGAAGGATCAACGCCATGCCCAGGCACGAGGCGTTGATTGGTCTTCCCAAAGCAGAAGCATGTTGCGATTGGTGGATCAGAGTCTTCAGCTGTCGACATGACTCGATCTTCAAATCCAGGGTTCTCCGGCTTGACTCGCATACTCTTACGACTCAGCTTTAGCATAGCCCTGTGGAGACATTGTTGGCTACCAACATACTAGGCCATTTTATTTCAGCAGTATAAATGGACTCGACCTCCGGGTTGAGAGCTACGACTCCAACAATTGCAGCTCAAATACATCCTCGTGTACAGAACACTCGTCGGCAAAATGCGCGGTCTTACCTCTATTCCCCTAATAGCTTTGGCCGTTAGTGGCTGTGTCGGTTCCCCACTTAGCGACATCAGTCACAAAAGGGTAGGCTTGCAGTCTTAACACTGGCTTCTATAACCCGCTAAATCCAACCAGGAGTCGAACTCTTTGGGTGAAAGCCTGGGCATCGAGGCCGACTCCATGGTCAGCTATGATGGTATCTATTTCGGCTGGGCTCCCAATTACAGCCCCCGGGTCACCATGACCGACCTCAACGAGGCGACGGGTCAAAAGGGCGCCACGTGAGTGCGGTAAAAGTATTTTACGATTGCAAGGCTCACCTTCGATATAGCTACAATGTCTACTCACAGATCACCCAGGACAACGTGGAATCCGGGTCATATGATGGCAACGATCAATACCCGGTGGACGATATCATTGCCTCCGGGGCCGTTCTGATCGCGTCTTTGATGCCGAAGGTCGACTGGGAGGACATCACGCCTGAGCTGTGTGAATCAGTCGCTTCCTACTTCAAAGACACCTTCACCAACAAGGGTGTCACCGTCTGGCTTCGCTATGCCCATGAGATGAACTACTACGCCGATCCTAATGTCGTGGTTTATCCTGGCGGCCGTAAGTACTTTCTCCCCAACATTTTCTTGGCAAGGGGCAAGCCTAATAGTTTGTGCCAAACGCCAGGTGACTACGCCGCCTTCAACCAGACCTGGAAAGATATGTATACAGCGACGGAGTCCAACGACATGATCTACATGTTCTGGTCGCCGAATGTGGACACGGACTCGGAACCCATCGCACCTTGGTGGCCCGGTAGGGAGTACGTCGACATCGTGGGAATGGACTACTACCCTGAAGGTGATGCTCTTCCGGACTTTGCCACAGCCTATGGAAGCTTCTACGACACCTATGCCAAGGGTTATAGCCTGCCGTTTGCTATCGCCGAGACCGGCACACAGCTGAACAACGGCGCCGCTACCACGGCCCAGAAGCAGCAGTGGCTGAAGAGCATCATTAATCCGTCGGAGGGACTGGGTGACTACAGTGAATACTATGTCAGCTGTACCTGGTTCGAGTATGGCCCACCGGCCAACAGCATCGACTTCTACATCGTGTACAATCAGACGGAGAATGCGGTGCTGGAGACCATCTCCAACACCGAGAATGGGTCCTAGCTATATCGACGCTGTCATCCATGAGCCCTGTCAGGGTCTGTCGACAGGTGAGTTCGCTTGGGTTTCGGGGTAGAATCCACTGATTACTGTGGGGCTGTGTATGTCGGAGAATATTGTACAGTAGAGAAGATACAACTTTGATACATATGATAGGGCAATACCAGTATACAGAATAATTGGGGTTCAGAAACAACATTATACTTCTACCGTCTCGATCTCCAATGAAAAGCAGAATGTAGCACAAAAGCCACGCAATTGCCCCCTGGAACCGCCTATAGACTGTGCTACTGTTCCCTGGTTATAATACCGTGACGATATAGAATAGAATCCGGCTTTTCCGCAGTGTGGGTGACACTCAGGCAGGTTCAGCCTTGCGTTGACTGAATTCACCTCAATTCAGCCTCCAAACGTATGTAGATCTTATCAGAATGAGGCAGTAGTTGCCCAAACGGGAAACTGGTCTTCGAGGCCGGGCCCGGGCTATGGGGCGTTCCATGGCTCCGGAATCCTTCAGGCACCGCGCTAGCAACATGAAGCCTGTTTCGGTTAGTCTCTTCGGGGTTTGAACGTGCATCGGGCGGAGTCTACCAGAAAGGTATAGTCCCAGGCACAATCCAGGCTGCCGGCATCAAATCTTACAATACGAACTGTGGCGGCCAGTCACTGAGTTGAAACAACATCACAATGGCAGTCAGATGCTCTTGGCAGCCTTGCGATTTCATGTCCGCATCGTCCGGCTGGAGACTGAGCCATCAAGCCATCAACAGCATGGCAAATGGTGTCGATAATGAATATAAAGTTGTAGGAGATTCGTGAAGTACTGAATTTGGGCTCGCATTGCTGTCTTACTACCACGATATAGAGTCTGATTCAACAATCACCCATCAGAATGCTAGATTGGAACATCCCAAGCAGTCAGTCGAGTTGCCAAGCACAGGGTCACAATGTGACCTGCGACTTCGCCCTGTACACCAATGCTACCGACCTGACCACTTCTCAAAAGCTGAGCCCAAACACGTCTATCACCGGGCCTGGGGTACATTGCTCAACCGTGCATAAGCTGAACAGTAACTGACCATATGCAGCTAGTCAAAGCCTTCATCATCACCTCAGTCGTGGCCATAGGAGCCGCCTTCGTCTTGCTCATCGACAAGGCTTGCATCTACTGGAACCAGTACAGAGACACAGACAACGCGATAAGAGAGTATGTACCAACCCTGCGAAGACCCGAAAAGGCTCACCACCTCGAACCCTCGCTAATGATACAACCCCCTAACAGAACGAGATACTACCGCCGCATCGCCCACACCGTCGAGCAGCTCCTGCACACCCTCAGCGACCAACAACTCACAACCGGCTTCGCGCTGATCTTCGCCCTGAGCGAGCAAGCCTGCACCATCTCCGCCTACCACTACGACCTGGTCTGCGCGATGCTGCTCATGTCCTTCGTCACCCACCTCAACACCCTGGTCAGCATCCCCACCTTCATCCACAAGGGCAAGCTCCTCGCCCTCTACCGGTGCGCGGCCCTGATCACGCAGATCGTCCTCATCAGCATGATCTTCTCCGCCCGCAACCGCGCCGCCTTCCCCGCCCGCCCCAGCTCGCTGGCCATCTTGCCCGCCTGCTGCTTCATGAACATGAATGCCAGCGACTGGCTCGGCCTCGCTGACGCGGGGGAGTTCGTCACCCACCACAACTCGACCACAACCAATACCAGCGGGACGGAGATCTTTTCCCAGGCTGGGCGGTCCAGTGCGTTCGGGCAGTACATCGCTCTGATCGTTTTCATGGGCCTCACTGCTGTGATTGCCGGGGTCAACTGGCTGGAGGCGCGGGAGGTGGATCTGCACCGGTGGCTGCGCTGGGTGAAGCTGTTTCTGGCCGCGACGGTCTCGGTGGCGACCCTGGCGTTGACGGTCTGGGCGTACCAGACGTATAACTCGTTGCGGGCGGGGATGGAGGTCGAGGAATGGTATCGACTGGGCGAAGAGAAGACGGCGTGGACATTTGCGGAGATCGTCCCGCTGGCGCTGTTGGCGTCGACGTCGATCACCCTGGTGAATGCATTGACACGTGAGTATTTTCTATGGACATAACATTGGTGATGGTTTGATTTGTTGCTAATGATGTTGTGTAGAAACGCTGGAAGGGGTGGGTGGACCGCGCTATGAGGGCTTGGTGCAGGTCGGGGTCAAGAGGGTAGCGGTCGAGGTGAGGGAAGAGAATTGATCTTGCGTCGGAGGCGTTCAGGTCTCCTCACTCATTCCCTTCCCAACGAAGCAGCCAAACTGTGGGGCCATGATTTCTTGTTGTAGCAGGGCATCAGCGGGCTGTCCTGGAGCCATCGTACACTTTCATTTTCACTTCTCTCATCTCTTCCGAGTTCTTCCGATCAAGCAAGTACACCGCATCCTCAACGCGTGCGCTAAAGACTCCATTTCCACTCCGCCTCCTCTTCCTGTGGATGGTTGTACCTCATCACAAAGGCATCTGCTCATGGATCCAGTATACCACGTCAATGGGCAATGTTCAGAGCACGGGGCTCTGATACTGTAGAGCAAAGATCAACGTAGACTGATGCAGGTGGCTTATTCACCTCCGATGCACCCCCCCTCCCAGGTCGGAAGGACGCCAACCCCTGAAGATGGCAAGCAATCAGACAGAAGACGAAAGGACTCGGCCGGGACCCCGCCGATAGACCGAACCAAGGCTACCAAGCACCCTTGGCTTGGACCCCTTCAGGAAGCTTAATCGCTGGGCACGTCCGCCATGTGGCTCTGCCAGCCGTTATCGGCCATTTATATAGGGCTGGGCTATAGCCCCGGTGCTCCACTTCGAGCATGCTGATTGGATAATCATTACATAGCGTGCTGAGCCGAATCCACTCGCGGAGAAGAAGAGGACGCACAGCCCCTCGCAATCATGGCTCAGTAGAGTATGCAGTATGCAACACTTGAACAGTATGCATCATCGCCAGGTTGAATATACTGCCCTTCGAGATGGAGCCAAGTTCGAAACGAATATAATTCGAACTTCTCCCCTCTCCTATCCAGAGGTCTCAAAGCACAGAAACCATCAAATGACATTCATCCCCAAACATGGCCCGCTACGAAGACGGCTACGACCCGCATTACGGGTACAACGTCAACGCCTTCAAACACCAACCCGTCCACCTGACTGATTGCGAGCAGGCATGCGCTCCCCACCGACGAGGACGAGGAACCCACGCATACCCTCGTCCATGACGATGGGGGTCGACCACGACGAGCTGGACTGGGCACTGGATGAGAAGATGACATCTGATGAGGAAGATGAGGAAGGTAGCAACAACAACAACAACACCCATGGGAACCCAACAGCAAGAGCAGCGACAACCACCCGCAAGAAGCTCCCCTTCCCCGTGATTCTCCCGCAGCGCCGCCCGCGGACCAAAACCCGCGGGTTCGTGCGCGCCTACGCCCCCGTCCTGCAGGATGCGGGCGTCGATCAGACCACCTTTCTCCGGTTCTTGAAGGATCTGCACACGCATGCGCAGGCGTCGCCTGTTCTGGAGGTCCTCG